AAATTTTGAGAGAATGTTCCCTATCCAAGTACAACTCAAATGTTTCAAATTCAGCCCCAGACTATGTCTGGTACTCACGTAAGGGCATATGAAAGTTTCTGCAGGAAAATTACTAACTTGGCAACCAGAAGAGCTAGAATGCTGAAATTTTAGGCGAATGTTCCCTGTCAACGTGCAATTTAAAAATGTCAAATTCAGCTTTCTAAGCACGCGGAGTAACCAAGTACGGGTATGTGAAGGTTTTGGCGAGAAAATTGCTAACTCGATAACCAGAAAAGCTAGGAAGCAGAAATTTTGAGGGGATGTTCCCTGTCCAAGTACAATTTAAGTATTTCAAATTCAGCCTTAAGGTATGAGTGGTTCTTACGTACGGGCACTTAAAAGTCTTGACGGAAAAATTTCTCACTGAATAACTAGGTTACTTTTAAAGAGCGACTGCTAGATGAAATTGTACATTTATTTTGCGAAATTTATGGCGATTTATGTTAGTAACCGCGAAATGTAGGTATAAAGCAACAGCCATTCATGCAGTTAATGACCTGAGTAATTCAAATCCGGTGCAAAAACGCATGATCACATGGGCCCTCCCGGTGCGTTCCAGCCTGGGTTTCTCTTATTTAGATCTAGCAGAGCAATACCCACAATACTGCTGGAAATATGCGGAGCCCCAAGTGATCGCACACTATCATCACAATGTTGCTATGTCGGGTGTTGATGCACCAGCCAAGCAGGCCACTGCAACACTTCCTGTTTTCTATGCATATCTACGAAACTCCTTCTCGCCCTATGATTTCAGCGTTCAGGTGTGCGACTTGAGTTTTTTGTTATTAAAAAAAAAAAAAAAAAGCGAACTTAAAAAGATGTTTCTCACCAAGTTCATAATAAAGATGATGGTTAAAAATTTGAAGAAAAAATTAAAAAAGTATGTAAATTAAAATTTATAAGACGAAGTAATAATAATTTGATGAAAAGGAATGTTTGGGTCCATTAAGTCATCTTGAATGGAGCTGCTTTTCGAGCTGGGGGAGGAAAATCCAGTCTTTTTTCTCCACTAACAAGCGAATTCTTCCCTTGATTCATGATTTGTTATTCGCTTCACTTCCGGCCTCTTTTTTTTCCCTCTGGAACCTCTCATACGTACATTTTTCCATCTATTTTAAAGACCTAATCTGTGCCTTTTAAATCTCTATTTTGGACTTTTTTTTTGAGTTTTCGCAACAATCCATCCAGTATCAGATCAGTTGAGTGTGAAAATGATAAGTTATGGCCATTCCAAGGCCAAATCAGAAGTGGATGGTCCAAGTGAAGCGGTCGAAGTGGGTTAAATTGATAAAAAATTTTTTTGCGGCCGTTGGCGGGCCGCAAAAGTTTCTAAAGCATTTCTGAAGCAACGACCAGTCTAAATTGTGAAAAGTACGGAACGGTCGAAATCCTTAAATTTTAATGTGGAGTGAAATTAGTAAGTGGATTATGATGGGAAAAATAGTAGGGATGTTTGAAATCCAAATTTTCCGGCGTTATATCACCTGTTGATGGGCATAGCATAGTGAAGTATCGC